AAAACAATAAACAAAGACAAAAGAATCAAATCAAAAAAACAAAGAAAAACATCCCACGATCTCACGCAGCAATCGACCGGAAAATCTGAACCTTAACCAAATGCAGTCTGATTGGCCCAGCTCAGAAGAATCCGAAGAAGGGAAAGTCGGCTGCAGTGAAACTGTATTCGAAAGGTGTATTGTTTGGAGCAGGCAATCCTTTACGTGCATCTTATTATTATCGACACCAAAATGAAAAGCATTGTTCATGTCTATGAAAATTGGGCTTTGAAGACAACTGTGGCCGAACAAATCCTAAATGATCTCCTAAAATATTGTGACGGTGAGGGAATATCGCTCAAGGGATTGTGAACCTCGATTGCAATGTCCTGGACTCCTCCAAAGAAAATAATTGTGTTCCATTAGCTAGAGTCGAAACTTTCTTGTTCTACGTGAGGTTTTCTACGAGAGAATCTGGAAAAAAAATCACCATTTCGGACACTCACTGACATGAACCTGCAGTGTATGGACTGATTTGAAATTGAACTACATGCGGCGCGGCATCGATTCAATCGTCCTCCTTCTGATGACCTATGTCGTAGTTAAGGGCGGATTCTTCGGATACTAGTTTATTACAGTACGTCACCATCAGAAGGCGACGTTAAAATAACAAAAAAAAGAAACGAACAAATGATCCCCTGCGTCGAACGAACCTTGCAAGGGGTTACTGAGCAGTCCTATACTTCGAAAGTACCTTGGTCATCCACAATCGAAAATGAGCTTCTGCAGCCTTCTCTTTTATTAATTCCTGTAATTATTTGCGACGCGTCCCCTGCCACCTGTAAATTTTTCAATCGTAAACAGCAAACACGTTAATATATGCATATCTTTGTAAAGAACCACCAAAGCATGGTTAAATCAGCCTGTTCGTATCTATCAAGGTGGGTTACCATACTAGGAACACTTGCCTTACTTGGAATTGCAGATGCGCTACGAACCGTTCCGTTTGGCGAAGAATGACGAATTGTCGTCAGTAGCTTATCGTCGCCTCATTGCTGCGATTGACTGGGTCGAACATCTGGCGAGCCTAATGGGAGGATTAAGCGTCGACGACAAGGTACACTGATATTATGAAGTTGTAGTAAAAAAACAGTCAGTTCATCTGAAACACTGCGCGATATCATCATTTTTAATTATAAGACGTAGTCTTATGGAAGTGCCGTTAATATCAAAAATAATGCGACGGTGCCTGCATGAAATAGAGCGTGAGGAAAGTAACAATACAGAGTGGAGCTGTGCAGCAATATCCAAAAAAAACGAAAAATTATAGATGCAGTACAATGTAAATTGGTTATGAACACAATTCTTCACTCTACGTGACAAGTATTTAACTTTAGTATCACTGTCAGGGTGCGTAACCCAGAAGGCGCTCATTTTGTCGCAGCCCGTTGGTACAAGGATAACGCCATATTCGACGCCAACATTTAAATACCTGTGGAGAACCGGTTGCATATCCCGAAGTATTGAATGATGAATAAACCTGGTAGCATGTTTTTCGGTATTTTAGCTTCCTTATGGAGGTCTCAGTTGCATGGCTTCGGTATTAATCTGGGCACTAGGTCTCCGTTCACCAATCCCACCCCTTCCAAGGATCTGTAGCTTGAAAGCAAAGTTCTCGGCGAGATATTCTGGTTGGTCTTGCTCAAATAGCGGTGCCAAAACGGACAGAAATCAAGGACGAAAAAGCAGAAAAAGAATAGCAAATGTTTTCAAGAAAATCCCTTAGCGGGCACATTTGTGTGAGCACAGGGCGAGCAAAGGATGTGGTGGACAGACACCAGGCATTATCAGTTCCAGGTTTATGCGTTCGTGCGGGAGGGACCGATGTATTTTTGGTTTGTTTTATCCTGCCGATGATACTGCAGTTAGGTTTCTGTCTCAAGCATTCCCTTTAAAACCACACCGAATACTGGGTTGGTTGTAGACTATCGGTGCGATAAAGCATGGCCTGCCGAAAATGCGCTCTCCACTCCATCGACAAACATTACTGTAAAGCGGAGAACACGAAGCCTTTACAGTGTACAGAGGCAATGTACCTTAGCTTTCATGAGGGGGGTGTAAGATGACGTCTGCTCGTAAACGTCACTTTCGAGAGAATTAATGTTAAATGCTTGGCACATGGGTTGAAATGGGTGATAATCTCATGAAAAGCGACCAGCAATTACCTCAGATCGCCGAATTTTTTTTGCGTCAGTCCCAGGCCTCATGTTGGTGCGCTGTAAAGAAAGTTTTAGTGATAGTGATGATGTTAACGCAGCCATCTACTTCATTGAAATAAGAATGAGACACAGCGACAGGATGAATGGGTAAGAAGTGGCGAACCCGCTTTCCCAATATAGCTCATTTCATCAGATGAAGCATCATAAGCTCAGGTTACTGGCAAACAAAGCTGTGAATTTATTTACGAAATTCTTCAAGAAGTTGCGGTATAAACTTGCAACCTAAGAAGGTCTTTGTACTTATAGTTGCTCATACGGCGGGATCCATCCTGAGAGAAACGATATTGTATATTGTTCCATCTTGAAACTTATCAGAGCCACCTTGTATGGTTATGCTCGAAGACAGCAAAATCTTTTTAAAGATTGCTCTGGTGAAAAACGCATTCGCTCCATTGATGGTGTTCAAGTTCGCCTCCAGAACAGCTGAAGTGGCTAAAGACGAAAACATCCTCTGTCTTTGCAACTTCGCTTACGTACCAAGGAACATCTCGCAAGCTTTTTCCGACAGTTAGTAAGTTTCCTTAATTTGCGTCCATATCCTATTTTTTGTATTGCTTCTGAAGGGCTTATCGCCTATACAGATCAGAAACCGAACTACAGTTGGAAATGTGGTAGGGATGTGGTTTGCTGCAAAAAGCAATTATAGGGAATCTACTATTTTTTGTGGTCATTTCATGATTCCTCCATAGAGTTTGATGAATGTGGCAAAGATACAATAGTATCCTTAGGATCCACCACAGGATTGACGATGGTTTCGGATTAATCTCGTGTCCTTTGTCTTGAAAGATTATGAATCTGGTGATAGAGGCTGCCAGACCACGCGCTTCCAGTACCTATGCCAAGAACATACTCCTTCACGATGTTTGTATCTTAGTTTGATCGTCCCAATGCTGATTCTTTCTAACTGCATAAATCTGATGCCTTACCCAGATAATGAAAAGTTAAGATAAACGATAAGCGATAGCGTGCTCATTCCATTCTCAAATAAGCATACCCGTGCAAATTACTGATTTACCACACGTTTAAGCGATAGGCAGTCAGGTTGTAGCTAGTTGCCTTCAAAAAACCTTGAATAAAGAGCCAGCATGTTCAGTAGCTGTAGCTGGTTTTCAGAGACTTACAGATGTTTTGATTTCTTGAGTAGGTGCCAATCATGGATATATCTGTATAAAAGTTACAGAGAATATATCAATTTTGTGCATGTCATGACTGGGAACGTCTTGTCGATCGGTGCACTTGACAACTTGTTCGACCTTACGTCGATCATTATGGAATTGTCGTGAGGATGGAAATGTGTGCGTCAGTGCGTATGAATCGTTCTAAATCTCCCAATTGTCAGTTCTAATTTGTCTATTCTAAGTTCTTTCTATGGAAGCTTTCTTAGGAATTGTTCTACTAAGGAATTCAAAAAACGAAAAGATGAGAGCTTTCTCTTCTTTCTGCAATTATATCCTACGTCAATCATGAAATGGAGCAGAATGAACGGGCTTCAAGACAGCCAAACGCTAACCACGCATATACAAAATGCACCGACTGCACAAACTGCATATACAGTCATGATCCCTGCAAACGTTAGTGTGTAGCGGGACTTGGGCACTGGAGCACTGCCAAGGTGGCCTTTCCATCAATGGTACGATCCTGGGTCCACAAACGACGCAGGGCGGGAAGGCTATTCTGGCCTGCGAGTCACTCCTCAACACGCCTTCAACAGCACCTCATATTTTTTTGCTTGGCTTATTTTATTTTTTTTTTTTTTTTTTCCTTCTTTGTTTTTTTTTTTCTTTTCGGTTGCAGTATCACGACCAATGAACCTAATGTATAAGCGAATATGGGCAACTCTGTGGGTGTCCCGAATCTTATTTTAATCAATGTGTGGTAGGTAACGTATTCAAAGTGTTTTTCTAGGCTCTAGAAAGATCATGCGATGTTGCTGCCGACTACCAGGCCATGATTCCTTCAAACATATATCCACCATGCAGCTCTTTAACACGTTGACGATAACGCGTGGTTTTTTACTTTTCGGTGCTTCGTGGGCGCGCGCTTTCTCGAACGTCCACAAGCGCGGTTTATATATACATGGCTATGCGTCCCACAAGGCGCTTTTCTGGAGATTGGATCGAAAAAACCTGGTTTAGAGAGCAATTGTGAGGTAAGTCAATTTATTTACTATGGAAAATCTGGGCTGGCCAACTATCTTTGCACCAGGACCAGGAATTTGTCTCTAACCAATTTTCTTATAAAAAATGCAAATCATGCTTTCTATAGGGATTCAGAATCCTTCACCTTACTAATCATTTTATCACTAATCGGAGCGCGGGATCAATTATATGTTGTAATTGTCTGTATTTGTTGGCAAAGAGTTAAACAGCAAACCAATCCAAAGTTGAGGAGCAAACCAATTCAAGCTTATAGTGCTCTTTCCACAGGAAATCTTTGCTAACTAATATGTACTAAGTTATTCCATGGAGCACGTACTAAGGACTGGCCTATAGAATGAATAGGAGAAACTAAACAAAAAATCATGCACTAGTGAAAGATATGGATTTGTTGATCGTGATTCGTATACAATTCGCGCGGTCCCACGTGGCCCACAAAGCGCGCATTAAATGCGTATCACGCTGTCGTCAATGTGTTAACTAAAATTCTTACGACAGCCACATTAGGTCTTCCGAAAAGGAGTGGTTCAGACTGAAAACTGACCAAAATAGCATCTAATTCAATAAAATTAGAGCCGCTGCGAGCTTGCACTCGGCTGCGAAAATACTTTTTTTCGCATTCGCAATCGTGGCGATTCTAACACCACATATCCACATAAAGCTTCACCCGTGTTCTCTACATAGAAACCAGGTAGGAACACATAACGCACTACTGTACTGTCATTGTTTATAGTGGCTCGAGATCTGTCGTCGGAAGCGTTTGAGAAGATTCTCGAATTACGAAACAAGATCGAAGACACCCTATACATGATTGTCAAGGAAGCCCGCGTCAGTCAACATCCAGCGATTTGTTTTGGACACATTCTCCTTTCGCTGCCTACAGTGACGGTAAGCACAAGAGTATGCGACGAATCTTAACCCGTTGCTGCTGCGGCGCTTTTGTCTTAGCTAACGGGCATAGCCGGCACCTCTTTTATTCGGCGACATGCTGCGCGTTGTGTGTGAAAAAAAGGAAACGCCAGCGGCATTTACTATATAATCGTCGCTTATTAGATCAAATAATTACCTAAATGTTCGTGTACATATATGGTAAACACATGGACTAGTGACGCATGATTAGGCTGATAACTTGGAAAGAGTGCAGCAGTATGTGGACTCGTTGTAGAGAAAAGAAAAGGTTGCAAGAAAAAAAATGATCAGGACGTCTTTTAGTTATTTAGTTCTCTAGCTTATAGGTTACCAGCGGCGTTCTCCTTCTATTGATTATCGAATAATAAATAAGAAAAGGCGCTTTTGAAATGTTGCGCGAAAGGGCCAATAATTTAGAAAATTGTACAGCTGGCTCAGTTGCTCATAGATATGTTGCTCTGCGGCTCACTAAGTATAGCCCTGATCCCTGCAACGATTAGGCGTGTAAGAAAGCCTGGGTATGTGACGTTTGTCCAGTCCACTTTTTCGCACTCTCCCTCATAAAGGCAGAGTCGCCTGCGGTGTGACCTCACTTAATTGCTTGCTCGCTGCCTCCTGACCTCTCATCGATTACGCTGTTCAATCAGTTATAACATGTTACACGACTCAAAGAATATTATGAATATGAAAGTGTGAAGAATAGCCCATACTAAATGAATAATGAGTTTCGAGTCGATGAATCGAGAGTGAAAAAACATAATGGAGACCTTTTCTCAACTTGGCAGTTACGTCAAGACGATTGAGTACTTCACTGATAAAATAGTACCCCTTTTTACCTGTTCTCCGCCAAGATATGTCTGTGTCTTTCTTTGTTCTGGTAATGCAGGAGCTGTCTAATTGTGAGATAAATCTGAAACGGTAGAATCACGAAGCAAGGAATCGGGTGCAACCGGATTTGGTGCGCGGCATGAAGGGACTGTAGATGGACGTGGAACACGTTCCTGTGCTGGTTTGGAGGGAACTACAACCAGTGTCTAATGGAGCCGAATGTATATCATCAGGTAAGTGGGTCCAGCTGGACTGTATCCTACAAAAATCGTTGAAGCGGTAAAGTAGTACGATGGTGGTGTAAAGAATGAGGAAAAACTTTAAGTCAGGCGCCCACGTATAAGGATGGATCAGGCGCAGCATGGTAGACTGAAGGCCTTGAAGAACCGAGGAGTTCATCCACTATGAAGGTGCATGTTCTCGTGTATAGTGCTGTAGGAAAGCTGAAGGGGAAAAGAACACGTGCAGAAGGATGATGAGAGCTGCTGAAAACCGTCGCAGTGAAATTCTTGATTCATGCTGTGCTCAGGAGTGACAAACACAGAAGTGCATGTTGCTGTAAAGTAGCGCCTTCAAATACTTCTTAGCGATGACCTTTTTCATCAGGTGTGAGGATAATGGATGAGATTTAGAATAATTAAAAGTGCTGACGGTCGCATTAAATGAACTGACCCGCTTGCAGGCAAGTGATCTCTTCATATATATACATAATCTATAATCTATAATCTGAAAATAAAGGGCTTATTTACCAGTTGAGGAAACGTCCCCATTATGTCTTTTTTTCACTTTTGTTTCGTCGGTTAAATTTTCATTAAGTAAGGGCTACTCTTCACATTTTCATATTTATATTGTTCGAGTCGTTTTAACATGTTATAACTGATTGAACAGCGTAATCGATGAGAGGTCAGGAGGCAGCGAGCAAGCAATTAAGTGAGGTCACACCGCAGGCGACTCTGCCATTATGAAGAAGAGGTGCGAAAAAGTGGACTGGACAAACGTCCTACACCCAAGCCTAGGTTGGATCACAGCTAGAACAGCTCCGCCATTTCTTGCAGGCTCAGGATAGTATCGTTGATAAAAAGTCCGCCTGGGCAGGGCTTCAATCTACGTCCCGTCGGACACCCTATGGTGTGTAGGGATCATGGCTGTATATAGCTACAAAACGAAAAACTCTCAAGCAATTCTGCTAGTGCGTTCTCCTCCATGTGCAATGCGCGGGCGTACTGAAGTAATGAGCGTGATGCACGTGGTGCAGCACTCGTACGCAGTGGTTAAAAATGCGCGTGCGGATGTCGTTCATTCACGTCGTAGTGTGATATTTACATGTGCAAGCCTGCGCAATCTTCCGTTCTCCGTTTCAATACTTTTCATTTGCAGATGCTAGCCAATGCCATGTGTGAGAATCTCCAGTTTGCTCAAGTTTTTTCCAATGCTGGTGAGATCCCGCTGCTCACTGACCTTTTCGGGTACGTTATGAGAGTATGATGTCAAGATTTGAAGTGCGTTTATTGCTGCTTCGCCTAACTACAGTGACAGTTCTGCTAGTCTGTATCAAAGTACTCACCCAAAAACATTATGTGGAACAGAAGACCATTCTATGTGTTGCATGACTACTCTAA